CTGCTGACCTTGGCTCTTGAACACAAAGCAAGTGCTGTTAGAATATAGGAGTTATCTGCAGAGACTGATTCAGAGCTGGCAAGCTAAGTACTATTTCAGACCTGTTGGGATGAGATCTAGGTAGTTCCCCACCCATTTATGTGGAACAAATTGTGAGACTGAGGTTGTGTGTTGACTGTTGACCTATATCATCAAGTGTAGCAAGCAGAGTTTCCTCTTCTTTGGAAATTATTTTTGTGGTTTCCCTAAGTTGCACTACTTTCTCTATGTTTTTGTGTAACCAAATTTCTGGAGCAGGCCTGTGCATGGACAATTTGTGACTCTTAAATCTGGAGATTGACAATATCACTCTAGACAATTTGTAGCAGAGAAGTAGGAAACATCTGAAATAACGTGTTTTGGTGTTATGCAGGTTGACTGCAGGTATTTACAGTATTGTACTACATGCAATGGCAGCATAAATGGAAACAGCTTGGAACTGGATTATAGAAGCCTGAATAATGCATGCAGTCTTGCAAAAAAGCCTAGTCTTTGTATTCTTTATCTCAAGTTTGGGGATGTTTCTCAAGTTTGAGTTTGCTTCTTGCCATGACACCCATCCAACTCTCAGGATAGTTTTTTTCCCTTATCCAGTGTCTCCACAGTATAACTTTCAGACTATTTTGGGATTGAGAGTGCTTATATCCAGCTAGTCATGCAATATTTCTGTTATGGGAATTTGTAGATGGTCATTAGGAATCAAGAGTTGCTGAGCTTGCTACTTCTCTTCTACCTCTAGGAGCTTAGATTTTTAAGTGCAACTAATTCCCCAGCTGAGATATTATTGTCTTGCAAGTGCTCGTTAAAGTAAAGATTAGGAGAACCACTCTTGGCAGTTACTTTCTTAGTCCAGATTGAAGCAAGTTGTTATGAAGTAGCGTATTTTATCAGGAAAGGAGCCTTTAACTCTGTTTTGTGTATTAGAGTGATTTGTGGTGAGATCTGTTAATATAGGACCCTATTTAATTTTGCCCTGATGCACCAGCACTTGTATTTTGGATACTGGATAATACAGTAAAAGGAAGGATTGAAAGAGGCTTAGTATGGTATAGAATCAGTCCTGTAGGTGCTCACTTGACATGTTATTTGTGAGGCAGCCCAGTGTCCTAAAGAAAATGGCAGGTTATTCACACTAGACTTCTCATTGTTCTAATGAAGTGCTTTATAGTACAGTGCTAATGCTGAGAATTAGGAGTTCAGATTAAACCCCTGCTATACAGAAAAATATTTAGAGCTTTTATGCTCAGCAGTGGAAATGCATAGAGTAACTGAGGTGCTATCCTATTTAGTTGCATCACCGCAAGTTAGATGAATGATTAAGCAAGCATCTAACAAACCCGCTAATGTGTTCTCTGTTGGAGGGTGCCAGAAACAAAGTAATAAAAAATATAATTAACCTCCCTCTCTAATATTGCTGCAGACTAAGATCTTTGCTATATATGATTCTCAGTGTTACTAGTGAGGTCCTTATGCCCCTGCTTATGTTTTAAGAAGCTGGGTATTCAGAACCTCTTTTTTAAAAGCAGGGCAGTTTACATCTTGGCTAGTGAGCTCAAAAGCCACTGTGAAATATCTGTTTGGGAATCATTTGTTTTAAAGAAATAACTACTACAGTGACAGATTTTATTTTCTTTGGAATTTAAGTCCTTGTTCAGGAGATGAAGAATTTCTCTCATTTCCCTGGGTGTGGTAAATAACTACTGTCTTCATACTAATATAGCATTGCAGAAAATCCTCCAGCAAAAAGACAAGAGAATGAAAGTATGTCCTTTACTTTTCTCACTCTTTTTTTTAATCTTTAAAATACGCCGCTATTAACACCTGATTAGGAGCATTATTCATATGGTAGGGCATTATAGCATAAGGTTTCCTTGGTATTGTAATTAATTGTGGAACCTGCTTACAGTACCTTTGTCCTTCCACTTGGTTATGCGACCATTAAAGACGGTTGTGCAGGTGGGGACCAGCTTTGCTCTCGGGCAGCATCTCAGCACAGAGCTGCCTGGACCGAACCACTGCAAGGCTTCCAAGCAAGGCTAGATAAAATTGGAAGATTCAAGATTTGTCTGTCCGTCAGTCCTTTGGCTGTAGCTCATGTAAGAATGCTCATTACAGAAAGGATAGGTGTCAGACATTACACAAACATACTGTATTATACTTATCAATATGATATAGGATTTTACATAGGACTTGTACCAGTTTAACTGAAATTTCTGCAACCTCTTAATTTAAAAAGGTATGTCTGAGAAGCAGGGTCAGCACTGAATTCATCTCCTAGTTGGAAGGGCTGTTTATAAAAGGGCTGTCTTTAATCTGCTGTTCTGTGTTCCACACCAAACTACTTATTTCTCCCCTAATAGGACCGCCTGCCAGCCCACAGAGTACTCCTGCCAAGGCCTTCACAGTGGGCAGCCCGTGCATTTCCTCGCCGTGGCCGGCTGCCTGTGCTCCCATTTATTCTGGAGACCTTCCTCTGTCTACAAACACTCCGACAGGCGCTCTCAAAACCCAGACAGCCACAGCCTGCACCCCAGCCAAGCAGAGTGGAGCCAGCCCATGCGCTTCTCCCAAACTGATCCCTTCCTCCAAAATGACCATTAAACATTGGGTTACAAGGACTCCGTGCTCTTCACCTCCAGAAGTGGGGAAAAAGGCTCCTTCTCCTAGAAAAGCCCTGGCAGAAGTCACCCAAGGTCTCCTCGAAGCCACTTGCCCTCCTAAAGCCCCATACTCGCAGTTTGAAAAGCGTGCCAAGAGAAGGCTTGACTGCAGTAAGGAGGACAACGCAGGGCAGAAGTGTCTGCAGGCTTGTAGCTGTGTGACTGAACTGGACCATGCAGCTAAGAAATCCAAGCTTAATTTATGTCACTTGGCTGCAGACCAAAAAGCTTGTGATGAAGGTTCTCTCAGCCTGGTTGACTTGGATAACAACCACGAAGGCTCCAGCCACAGCCCAAAAGAACCTTCCTTTTCTGGAAGCCATATTAATCCATCGGGTGTTCAAACTCCCCCCCATCTTTTCAGGTCTCCATGCGGGAGAGACACTGAGGTAGTAGATAAAGAGAATAGTTCACCTGAAAGAAAAAATTGGTTGTCTGCTCTGGGAGAGAAGCTACGGACTGGCAGAGCTGGCAGCCATAGCGCATCAAACAGCCCCCCGTCATCTTGCAGTCCTGGTGCCAAACGACAAGAGCCTGTGGCAGCGGCCACTTCACCAAAAACTGTAAGTAGGATGGTCAGTGACAGTGGTCATGAAAGAAGTTACACCTAGCTGCTAGTCTCCCCTTGTTTGTACTCTCCTGCTCAGGCATTCAAAGAATTATCTGATCCCTTCAATTATGGACAAAAGGGAAGATTTCTGGCCTAATAAGCAAGATACATACATGAACGCTATTATCTACTAATCCCCTCCATGCAGGAACAGAATTTTTAGGATGGTGATGTCCCTTATCTTAAAGGGACTTAGGGCACACAGGAGCTCAGAGATCCTCACAGTCTTCAGCTGGATGTTTGAAGGGTGTAGCTGTCATCTGAAATACAGCTCTACTCTGAGAAGCACGCTAATGACAGCACCTTTCCTGGCAGATCTACTGTTTATGTGTTCACCATCACATCTGCCTGTTTATGTTACTGGAAAGCCACTTTAGCATTGGAAGAAAGAGCTAAATTCTATTCTAGCCCAGGTAGTAAAAGAATTTGTTACCCATGTTAAAACCATGGGGCTAAATAATGCCTTCAGTTCCTTCAATTGAAAACTAGCAGAAAACAAAGGAATTGTAAAAGAGTCAGAGGGCAGGATTTGACCTACATAATCCTACTTTTGATGTACAGGAAGCCTGGCACAGAGCTCATCCTAGGATCTGAAAGTTAAGCTTCTAAAGCAGCTAAAAAAGTTGGCATGAGTGCATGAGGGTTTAACATGCAAACTGACAAATGATAATGACATTTTTTAAAAGAAACCAAACTTGACTCGTCTCTGAAACTGAACTCCAAGTCCTACAGTGTCTTTTACTGGGTCTTATTTCAGTAAATGTTAGGTAGATTTTCAATCATCAAATTTTACTTGTATTCTCAATTGAATATCTGATGCTAGAAGTTGTTGCCATCATTAAGGCTTATTTTGATATCTCATTTCTTAGCCAGTTTCACCTCTTCCAGCACTTCTATTGGATATGAAGTGGGCAAGCCACCACTCCATAAGTTATGCATGGCAGCTGAGCTCTTCATATTGTGGCTGTACCAAGAAATCTTGGTTATAGGAAACCTACAACTACTTGTGCTTTATGGTGTACATGTTTAAACACAAGAGAGAAATATTTGCCCTGGAGAGAGATTATTATAGAATAATTACCTTTCCTGCCCAGCATGCTCTAGTTCAGATTTCAGGATGCCCCTGTATTGTACTCAAAGCCTGAGGCAGTGCCTGGAATACCAGCAGCATTCATTGATCTGCTACGTCTTGGAAACCTTCAGCTCTCTTTGCTGCAGGGAAGCTGAAACTGCAGCCAGAGTGCTTTTCTTATGGCAGTAAGACAACCTTAGGTTTTACCCAGTGTTTCCTGTAGGTAGTAAGCCTCTTATCTGCGAGACAAACAGATTATAGTAAAGAACCTTTCATTTACTATCTTAGTTGGGAAGCTAAACAAACTGGAGCAGTGATGGAGGGGAGACTTTAAGACTCCTGCAGCATATGAACTGTTAACCTAGAAACGTTTCTTGTTGGTTTTGGTTTTTTTCTTCCTAGGCTGTAACCACTTCAGTTTCCATGAGGAAGATCTGCACTTACTTCCACAGAAAGCCACAGAACGACTGAAGCAGCACGCGGCGGTTGCACCTGACGGATGTTGACACTGTGGTATCAAGACCAGATTTAGCAATGCCAACAATGATGCACCGAGGTTACCCAGTTTGTTGTCAGGCATTCATAAACTTGGGGTTTTATTCTTCTGTTTTTAAACCTGTTAACAGCTGAAGTCAGCTGAGTGTGGAAAATCTACACAATACTTACTCATGGTCTTACTGACTTTGGATGACAGAATTTTTTAACAAAGAAAAATAGAGTATTTTTTACATGGCAACCGTTATAGTCCAAAGACAGCGACAGCTCTGCTGTGCATTGTTGACAGGCACGTATAGCTTATCAGTTTCTGTTACTAATCTGCCATTGAAACTTCCTCTGCTTAAGAATAAAGTGTAAATCATTACACCCTCCTTAAAAGCAAATGTTGGAATGTGTATAGAGAAGCTTATTGAGGTAAATCTGAGCCCCTTCACGCCGAGTGGCATTTCTGTAGCTATTCCTCAAGTCCCACAATGACTACCCACTTCCAGCAGGGAAGTTATGAATGTGTTTAAGTAAATATAAAAGACTTTTAAACACCCTTTGTCCATCCATTGGTGATTATAGTCTAAGAGGAGACAAAGTATAATGAAGTACATAATGCCTATAATGCCTGTACACCTCTTGCGATCCCCTTTCTTCTCCCAGTCTGGAAACTTCTGTATTTACTGAGTTAGCTGGCTTTTGAACCGTCAGCACTACAGCTGTTGAGGCCAACAGCTTGTCACTTCTCTGAAATAAAATACTGGCAAGGTGCATTAGGAAAATTAGTTTGATCTATTCCAAACAGGCATCCCATAACAGCTGGTTGCTCAGTCACCTCTTACAGATTCAGCCTGCAGCAAAGGCATTAATAACTACTTATAACATAACTTCATAACACTTTTGTAATACAGTATTCATAAAATAGTAGCTATTTTACTTAGCTAAATTGGGGAAGGGGCACTTGACATTTTAGAAAGCACTTGACAGAGTTTACATATTAATATTAAATGCTTTGCCATTGTAAGTTGTCACTGATGCTAACAGAACATCACTGAAATGAGATCACTGTCCTGCTGGCTAATGATACTAACTCCTCAGTCAAGCTTTCCCCAGGGGAAGAAGTAGTAGTAGAAGATCCTTATCTTAGGTTGAAGCATTTACTCTGTATAATAGTTTCTATGAACTTTAAAAAACAAAAAAACAAAAAAACAAAAAAAAACCCACACAAAATGAAACCAAAACAAACCTCTGAATCCCCGTTAAGTTTTTCTGCTGCAAAAGAATTGAGTTATTTGAAGGGGATGCGATCCAACTAACTCATGTTTTCCATCTGAAATTTTCACACCTACTTTACAGTAGTATTGAATAGTATGGGAGCTGAAAGGAATTAGAGAAAAACATGCTGGTTTGTATTTTATGTTGTAGATTGTATTTTGCAAGGAATTAAATGACTTGAGAGAAACTGGCTTTTGTGAAAGGTCTCTTACAGCTACAAAGCAAAAGTAAATGTGTAGTGTGCTTTTTTAAAAAAAGAAAAGCAGTCATCAAGTTGCATCTTTTAGCAGGAGCACTCCGGTAGGTATATATATGCATTTTTTTATAGTTCTTGTTTTAAAAAATGGATTTTTAAAAAGTAATTATCTGAATAGATCTAGTATCTTGGGCAAAACAGGAATATAAGAAATCTGTTATTTTAATTTTAACCTACTTCTGGATATTGAGGTAGATGGAAGTAGTAGAAACATAACCTAAAATAAGTAGGTTTGGGATTGAATTCTGTCTTAATTTTAATTATTAGAGCAACTGTGTAGGGTACAACCTGCCTTGCCTACAGCTGGTTTTTCATGCAGGATTCTTCCATGCAGTTTGTAAATAACAGGTTGCAGAATAAGGACATGTGGACCCTATTGAAGTACATCAGAGTCGTCAGACATTTCAACAATAGGATTTCATGTTCCTCCGCTTCTTTCACAATATTTTCCTCCTCCAGAAATGTTCTGCAGCCAAACCAGTATCTCCTATATCTTGTAAATGGCTACCTAGAGATGATTTACACTAATGGGTTACCACTTGGATGAATAATACTGTGTGGGGATGTGAGGTTTTCTCTGTTCAAATAGTGCCTGTTTAGTGGAACAACTTGTTTTATGGAGCACCAGGCATAATTTCTTTCATCTTAAGCTGACATCAACCTGGTTCAGAGCCTAGGAGAATTAACTGAAACTGATATTCTTCTGTGTCCAACTGCCTTGACCTTATCATGATAAAATCAAGATTGCAAAAGCATAAAAGAACTGCTGATACAAATCGTATGTCAAGTGGTTTAAGGTAACCAGGGCTGTCTTTACCTGAGACATTTGCTGAACTAAGCATCCAAAGAACTGAGCTCTTGTTTTGAGCCAGCAAGCTACAGCACTGAATTACCTTTCCTTCTAAAGGATTTACAGAAACTCTGCACTCCATGTTTTATAATCAAATTAAGCCTTTTGAGATATTATTCCCAAATCCTAGGTATATATGTAAATCCCACCTTATATATCTCAGGTTTTTCCATGCAGAGGATACTGCTTACTGATGTCTTGTCTCTGTCCTCAGTGTTTACCTCCTAATTGCCAAGGGGGATTTGGAAATGACCACAGCAGTTTATGACGGTACTACTTCCAACAGATGTTACTACTGCTTTATTGGAAGTTATGCCTCTTGCTGCTCAGCTATGAGCAGTCAACCAGTTTAGTTTGATAGCAGTTTGACAGTGACTTCAGCTAACCTGGCTTGGCAAAACTGAAGAGGCACTCCCAGGATCTGTACAGATGCAAAGTCAGCAAGCCTTGGCAAGCATCTCTTCTTAAGAAGTCCTTGGAGAAACTAACTACAAAGAAAACCAAAAATTTAATTGCCTCAGTTCCCTGACTCAGCAGCTAGTTACGCCAAAACTGTTGAGGGGACAGACGTGAGGGTGTGGGAACAGCATTGCCACTGAGGGGACTGTTCTGTCAAACTTCTCTCTTGATGTGTAGAGTTGGTAGGTTCTTGTTGGTCAGGGAGAGCTAAAGTCTTCCTTTGGCACCATTGTTTCTGCAGCCATTGAACGTGGCTGAAATCTCCTGGATGGTCCATCTTACCTTTGCGTGTCCACACCACCCTATATACTGACCTACAGAGGTTAAAGAAAAACACACTATTGTGGCATTGAAAAATGTTCTAGGTGCTATCTGTGTATTTCTTAACAAGTTTTGTTTAGAAATAGATGCTTTCCAGCCAGGGAGTTACCAAAAGCATTTGGTAACTGGCTAGAGGTATCACCATATTCAAGGGCTGACGTGTAGGCCTTGCATCCAGAATGCCTCTTAAAGAGGTTCCTCAAGGTCAAAGATTAAGAGCTTTTCAAAGCCAATACTGGTTTGGCAGTAAATGGGAAATAGTGTTCATCTTCAGATCCACTACAATCAAATTTCATCCTTTCCCTCCTGAAGCCGACCTAAACAGTTTTCCAATTGAGTGGAAATTATCGTTGTCTCTTTCTCTACACAGAAAACCAGAACACAGTGGCTTGCTTTTTTTCTTGCTACTATACAGTGTCTATGTGTCATCCTTCAGAGCATAGCTTTGACCATAACCAAGTGCTCTCCATTTGCCCTGCACAAAATGCCAGATACGATGCAAAGCAAGGACAAGAAGAAAGCAGACGTGAAGGAGCCCATAGGTAATTTCTTTTAAAATAACTTAAGGAGAAACATTCCATGTAAATTGTTTTATGGAAATATGCACAATGATACAAGGACAGAATGCACCCGAAGGGCAAAAGCAAAATTATAATCAAGGATTACCTTTCATTTTTAAGCCTCAATCTGAATTATATATTTTTTTAATCAGAATAAGTACCTTTCCATCTTAATTTGTGCATTATGGAGAAATTCCAGGGACTAAAAGTACAGCTAGATTACAACAGGAAGACCCATTACTCCAGGCTTGTGCAACTAGAAATAGACTTAAAGATCAGAAAATATTGTGTATAATGAAGTCCAAATACCCTGTCTTAATAATTTCAATAGTATCTTTAGCTTGGTTTAAGCTACAGCAGTTCTTATTTTTGAAGTTGTTCAGTCTCGATTTAAAGGCTTCAAGTGATATCAGATCCATTACAGTTGTACATAAATTATTCTAGAGGTGAAATGCTGTGAAAAGACTCTGACTGACTTGCATTTTTAATTTGTTACGCTTTGTCTCACCTATTAGCTCAGATTATTCACTTTTTTGTCTGGGTTAAAGATATTTCTACCACTATAGATCTTTTATCCAATACGTAGGAAGCCCAGACATGAGACTGAACCACCTCTTGTTCTCCTCTTTCATGAGCTAAAGAGAGTCTAAGTACAAACCCCCAACTATTTCTCAAGCTTGAGTAAAGCAGCTAAGGAAGTGCTCCATTCCTTCACATTAAGGTGCCACAGTGGCAGCTCCGCTCCTGTTAACAGAAAGCCTCTCAAGGACTCAGCTTTATGATTTACCTCTCCCCTCTTGTCTAAAGAAGATTGGCTGAATCATTAGCTAAAGTCTCTTCAACCATCCACTTCTGTACCATGCCTGGATTTTTTTATTTGGGTCATAAATTATGTAACTTCCTGGTTGCCTCCTAAGTGTGCTCTCACATCGTGTTGTTGTGAGTATAGCAGAGGAGGAGATGGACACAAATCCAAGCAGCAAAGACTAAGCTGACCTAATAGACCTGATCATTCTCACATCAACTACCTATAACTGCAAAAAAAATTCAGTATACTCTTGTTTGGTTGGGGTTTTATCCTTCTGTTGTAACATCATTATGATAAAAATCTCCGTTTATTGATCTATCCCTGTTCTTCCGAAAGGTGTTAAGTATCCAAAACCCAGGCTAATAGTAGTCTGTAGGACTGAAAAGTCAGTTCCACTGTATGCTGCAGTGACAGCAAAGTAGGCTGTGTTGGCAGGAGTTTAGCAGATATTGTCAGAGT